TCCCAAAAAGCTGTAAAGCTTATTCAATTAAAGGGGATTATGATCACTTGTTCTGCATTATAAAAGAAGATGATAAGACACATTGAAGGGTTGGTCTTCTTCTTTGACATCGTAATGGCGCCTTTTAGGGTTTTAAAGTTTGAAGATTCCAAACGGCGGTCCATGAAGATGGTTTCTACACCAACAATGATGATATTCTTCCTTCCTCTCCATGAGTAGCTAAAACATTGCTTAGGGAATTGATGTAACCCTAGTCCAAGTAACATAGTTTGATTTTTCTTAACTTTGAGGATTTTTATATGTACATTGATTGCATGATTGTGAGCAATTGATTTAGTTGTACTAAGTAATTGAGTTTTAATGAATAAATCCGTCTTAATGAAATTAATCTCGTCTTAGAATTAATTTTGATTTAATTGAATTCAAACATCTTCTATTGTAAGAGATTGACGGCTAAGTGCTTCTCTTAATAGTAGAAGTGGTTATCATGCAATGGTGTTGAACGACTATATGAATGAATGTTTTGATATATAATTCGTGCCTAGGGAAGATGAGTTGTACTGCATGGTAAATTAGAGTGGTTAGGTAGATAATTCATATTAACCGAAAATGAGTTATGGCTTAATGTTTATTCATATATATCTTCTTAATTGAATTGAAGTGCGCTTGTAGCCACTTAATTCTCAAATATGTACAAGTATAAATTTGCCCATAGTTGAAGCAATTAACTATATTATGAGGCTAATGGTGAAGTCAATCCCTAAGTTCTTCTCACTTTGATCTTATCCTTTGTTAATTTAGTTTGTTTTCAGTTTTATTGCAATTTAGAAATTGAAAACATCAAAATTATTTCTCTTGAATCAAATAAGGATTAATTTTATACTTAACAATACCAACACGGTCCTTGAGGTTCGACACCCTCAACATAGCTCTATCTTACAAGGATTCGTTCTGTTCCGAATGGTTTTATCATTGATAACACACACATCAACTCCTCAACAAGCTTAAAGATAGTGCCGGGAAAAAGCTTGTGGACTACATTGAGAATAATAATTAGCTTTTCTTCACTTGGATGGAAGGTGAATTTTCTCCGGATATGGTAAACCACTTTTATGCCAATAACAAATAAGCAAGTCTCCATGACAAAAAATTTGTGGTGTCTATTTTTGGAAATGATTATAACATCGGAGAGAGTCTCATTCGTGATATTTTGGGATTGCAATATGATCCTGCAAGTGATGGGGAGATTGTTCCATGTGAAGGATCTGGACCAAAACATCTGGAAATCCATTATTCAATTTATTTTCCGGGATCAAAGAAACATCCTCACTTCATTCCTTCTCGATATCTCATTGATAAGGCAGCACTCCTCAATCTTTCTGTTGTAGCAAATCTCGGGTCCTTTGGGAAGAATGACGAGATAAATTTGGAACGAGCTCGGATTTGTTACTTTTTGGCTACAGGAGTCTGCATTGAGCTTGGACCATCCATTGTGAGAACCATTATCATCCACTACAAGAAGAATGCTCATCGCAATGCTGCTCCATTCCCGATGATCATATATTATGGACTTTTGTAAGAAGAATGGCATTGTGATTCCTCCAAACTTGAGGAGATGTTTGTTTTGTGACACGATATATAACATTGTAAGCTAACCGTATTAATTATGGAGAAAAAAAGTAATAATTAGCTTAAATTAATTAGTATATATATGATATATATATATATATATAATAGTATATACATATTTATATATATATTCCGTTAAAAACAATTCATATATATAATATAATTATAATTTTGCAAAGCATTTAGGAATATTTTGGTCTTTTAATCTAATTTTTCTTAGGATAAAGAGCTCTTTTGACAGAATCAAAGCGTATTTCAATCATTTTGCATGGTGTCAGAGCTCTGCCGGTGACAGTTGGGGTGAGTGAAAGATGGAACAAACATTTGTAATGTGAGTGATATTTATTTTCAAAATGTGTTTTAGTGTGATATTTGGCCAAACTTAAAGAGATGTGAGTATAACTAACCCAAAAATAAAAAAACAAAAAATTAAATGCCTTAGTTCAAGTCTTGCATGTTTTTGAGCATTTGATATAAAACTTAATGCAAACAATTCAATATTCAATGGTTAGAGTGGTTAGAGATAAACATCAAAGAACAATAAACTAAAAGGGTCAACTTTGTGTTACTTGAGATTAATTCTGCATATATATGGATTATCATCAGTTTTGACGTGACAAAATGATCCTACCAATGTCGTCACACTCTTATTTGTCCAATAAAAACCTATGTTTCTAACTCACCATCTTTTACATTTCTAAAATGTTTTTCCATGTTAATCAATGAAAGATTAAAAAAAGCAACAACGTGATTTACATGGGGGCTGTTGCAGCTAGGAATTAATCTGCCGTGAATGACTTCAACCTTCACACGGCATATGTATATATACAGATGTATGTATGTATGTATATATATATATATATATATACAAACACATATATCATACAGCATGGGTACGGAACTGCATGAGAACACAGCTGAGTGAATAGAATAGTATTTAGTCATCAATCAAATTAATGTATTAGTTAAAAAGGATTTTATTACTTGGTTAGTTTATATGATATGGATGAACCAACAGGATGCGTTGTTTCTGGCTCACGATAGCTACTTGGATATATACGGATGAATCTGAGCAGTACAACGTAAAGAAACAATCAACATGGTGTAAAAGAATAATAATAAAAAATTAAAAAAAATGGTATTCCGTTATAAATTTTTTATTTCTTATTTTTTATTTAAATTGCTTTCTTCTTTAAATTCGATCATGCTTACCCCTCAAGAATAATAAAAAGGAAAAAGCTTCGTCTTATCTCTGAGTTCCATTCAAAGTACGTCAAAACATGAATACTTCCATAAAATATAATGATAGTAATTACAATAAGAAGGTATTACAAAAACATACACTTACAGTCATAATTGTAAATCACGAGTCATCAATATAGTTCCGGTTCAATTTATTTTATTTTTTATTATTATATAACTTTTGTTCAATCATAGGTTACTTGGATACCGTAGAAAAGAAAGGATAAGATTAGTAAGGAGAGAAAATAATAGAAATGAGGGATATTGTTTATGGTGTTTGGTAAATCAATAAAGAAAAAGAAATAAAATGATACTACAATAATCATGTTCAGGAAAGAGAGGAAAGTATTTCAACTAATTTACTTACCATATTCGTTTTCATATATTTTGTCAATTTGATATTAACAAAGTTTCATTAAAAATTTTAACTTTTCTTTCCATTTACTTTCATTTCTTTTTATTTTTAGAAGGATAACAAAACCAAAACATCATTGTATAATTTGTATCCTTCCCAACCCCTCTGTTTGTTTATATATATATATATATATAAATTCATATCAAACATAATATTTCATTTCCCAATGGTCCGCCGCCATGTAATAATTATTCTTTGCAACAAATACCTTTATTTTGTTGAGTACATTAAAAGCTACTCATATGATGAACAAATTAAGCCTAGTTTGGTATACACGAATAAAATAGAATAGAATGGAAATTTCATTCCAACCATTCCCTTGTAATGAAAATTTATGCCAAGGAATAAAAATTTATTCCACATTTAAACTGATGCAATGAGAATTCATTCCAATGAATATAATTTTTGGCCACCACCACCTTACGCCAGCACCACTACCACCACCTTCTGCCGCCGCAACCGCCTTACATCGCCACCACAACCTTTCGTCACCGCCACTTTCCACCGCCTTAACCATCTTAACCATCTTCCGTCGCCACCACCTTCCACCGTTGCCGTCGTCGCCACCACCACCACTATTGCAGCCCTCCACCGCCTTCCCCCACTACCACCGCCTTCCGTCACCACCACCTTCCACCATAGCCTTCCACCGCCACTGCCACTAACAACTTCCATCGCTGCCACCACCACCGCCTTCTCCTAGTGCCACCATCTTCCACTGCCTCCGCCTTTTACCACCACCACTTCTACCATGGTCGCCTTCAACCACCGCCGGTGATTATCATTTCATTCTTATATTATTTTATATTTGCAACTAAAAAATAGAATAAGAATAACTATTTCATTCTATTCTTATTTTCATTCCGTTCAAACCTTCATTCCATTTTATTCTGTTTCCTTGCTACATATCAAATTAAGTCTTAATGTAAAAGAAAAAGAATTATGCTATCCAAATTATAACTTTTAAGCTTGTACCAAAATTTTCTCCATGCAGAGAGAGAGAGAGAGAGAGAGAGAGAGAGAGAGAGAGAGGTCACGTTTTTTTGACCAACACAGAAAAACCTATGAGTTGTGTTGAAGTCATAGTCGTTAATATATTGTTTCCTACCTTTAGATGAGCTTTCAGCAACAAAAAAACAAAAACAAAAAAAAAGCTTTGGTTGATGGGAATGGACTGTGTTTCTCACGAACTTGTAAACGAGATGGGAATGGATAACACTTATTTGCCCAAGTACATTGCATGACTTGCACAACTTTCACATGTTTCATAATTATTATTATTATAATAATAATAATAATTAATATTATTATTATTATTGATGTGTTTCATAATAAATAATCGTGTAACTACTCGTACGTCATGTCATTAATTTCTTAAACAAGTTCAATTTGACACGCTTGAAATAAATCCATCTAAGCTTGAATTAATTACAAATGATTAGAAGAAGAATTAATGATTCTAGATATGGACATTTTACACTTCGATAAAAATTAGCAGCCAAAAGAGAAGAAATTACAAGGAAGTTTCACTTAGCATGCATGCATGATTCAGGTCTATAAATAGATCGTTGGACAGTGAATTCAAATACACAAAACCAAGCCATTCTCTTCTTGTATACCCAAAACTAAGGCATTCTCATCTTGTGGTGTTGTGTGATATATATATATATAGAGGTGTAAGGTGTTATACATATATTGGCTCTAGTTATACACAATGAACTCATCCGTTCAAATCCAGCCCCCAACATTTGGAAACCTAATCACCATTCTCAGCATTGATGGAGGTGGTATCAGAGGGATCATTCCTGCAACTATCCTTTCATTCCTTGAATCTCAACTTCAAGTATAATTAATCTTCTTCCCTCTCTTTTTTATTTTATGTTTTTAGGTGTACTTTATTATAGGTACACGAAGGGGGTTTCCTCAAATATCTGCATACCATGAATCATGCACACAAATTGCATGTTTGACTCTGAGATCAATAACTTATATAGGCTAGGCTTGATTTGTAACTTTGAAAATTGTTTTATGTTTTCAGACAATTGATAATTAGGAAATTGTATAAAAATTCTGCTTGGTTCAAATTTTGAAAAACTCAGTTATAAAAAAGCATTTTTTCAAATATCAATCTTTTATTATTCTCTAAAAACTGTTCTCTATCTTTTCAGTTTTTGAAAATTGTTTTTAGAGTTATGAACCAAATAGACCCCTAATTATTGCCAATGGCCATTAGCCTAGATGGTATAAATTTTCATCTCCAAATGAGGAGGTTGAGTGCTCAAATCTCCGTGGAGGCATCATCTTTTTTATGAACTTAATTGATAAATAATTGATGTAAGCATAATCTTTATTCCATGCAATATAAAGTAGTATATATTGCTAACGAACAATAATAACTTGGTACAGGAACTAGATGGTGAGGACGCAAGACTTGCAGATTATTTCGATGTGATTGCTGGAACGAGCACCGGTGGCTTGGTGACTGCAATGTTAACTGCTCCTGATGGAAATAACCGTCCTCGCTTTGCTGCCAAAGATATCAGGCCATTTTACCTAGAGCACAGCCCTAGGATTTTCCCACAAAAGAGGTGACCTGTTGATAGATGTGTGTGTGTGTGTGTGTGTGTGTGTGTGTTTTTATGTGTGTAACTAGCTAGATAACAAAGTTTGGAATGATGACTGCAGGGGCATATGTGGAGCAATTATAACCAAGCTAAAATCAGTAACAGGACCAAAGTATAATGGGAAGTACCTTCACAGGGTTGTAAATGACAAACTTGGAGAAACACGGTTGCGTGACACCTTGACCAAGGTTGTCATTCCAACTTTTGATATTAAGCGTTTGCAGCCAACCATTTTCTCATCTTATGAGGTATATATATACCTCCTCTATCTCTCTCTATACATACATACATATATATATATATATATCAGCCGTGACTCAAAATTTTGTTAACCGTCGTTGCTGGAGATTACTAGTGTAAACCAGAACTGAATTTTTTGAGGTCACGCAGGCCAAAAACTCCCCGTGTTTGGATGCTCGATTATCTGACATATGCATCGGCACTTCTGCGGCTCCAACTTATCTTCCAGCCCATCGCTTCAAGAACCAAGATAAACAAGGAAATGTTCAGGTGTTCAATCTCATTGATGGCGGTGTTGCTGCAAATAATCCGGTATAATTTAATTAATCCTTGATATTTGATAGTGTGTGTGTGTGTGTATATATATATATATATATTTCACTAGGCACATATATTTTTATATAGGGTAAAGTGCCAAAAAAAAAAAAAAACCTTGAACTATTGTCCTTTTGTAAATAATTAGCCACCATGAATTACAAATTGTTCTGCAGTCCATAGCAAAAGATTATTTTACCCTTTCTCATTACATTTGTCCTTTCTTATTAAAATATTTTTATTTTTTTTTATCTTATCTAAATAGACTAAATGTTAGTTATACTATTTAACTTAAATTTATTATTAGTATCAATTGATCATAAAATGAAAAAATTAAAAAATAAATTTTTAACTGCCATTTTTTAAAATGATTAACTTATTATTAAAATTTACTAATTATTTTAAAACATATTATATGCAGCTTAAACTTTTTTACGATTAAAAAAAAAAACTTCTTTTTCATACAATATATTCATGAAAAATTAATAAATTACTTAAATAAAAAATACCTTCTTTTTCGTGCAATAAATTCATGAAACTTAAGAAATTAGTTAAATTGTTTTAAAAAATATACTTAATATTTTTATTTAAAAAATTAATTTAAAATATTAAAAGGTAAATTTATGCAAATTTAATGGAGAATATATTATCAAATTAGTATGAAATTTTTTTCATAATTTATTTCAATAAGAAAAATAATTTAATCATAATTCAAAAAGAAAATGCATAATATGATCATTTAATAAAAAATAGTTTAGGTATTGGGGAATTTTGCAACAAAATGTAATAATTTAGGGAGTATTAATTATGTACAAAATATACTTTAATGGGGCTATTTGCAAATTTTGAAAGAGCTTGGGACTTCTTTATTTTTTGCACTTTACCCTTCTATATACGGAGTCCGGGAGTACGGGTGTTAAGAGTGTGTTGTAGGAATTTTGGATGCACGTAAAACACATTTCAATACATTTATTCCAAATTTCAACATATTTTTAATCCACAAAATAAAATTGTTGAAACACGGAGTAATACGTTGAAACATAAATTAGTGGTATTGTTGAAATCTAAAATAAATGGGCGGAAACAGGATTTAAGTACATTAAAAATTTATATAGCACAATACAACAGAGACCACATACACACGCGGATCAGATATGTATGTATGTGTGTGTGTGTCTATATATATAGAGAGAGAGAGAAAGAGAGGGTGGGACCGACTTTTTATAATCTAACCCTAAATTTTTATAATTAAAATTTTTTTAAATTTAATTCGAGGAGACACTGTGTAAATATTTTATAGTTCAAAAGTTGTGTAATTAACCCTAATTTTTACAAGAAATAAGGTTATTAGTATTGCAACAAATATTATTTGATTATCACATCTTGCTCTAACATTATTGCAGGCTTTAGTTGCTGTAAGCCAAGTAACTAAGCAGGTCTTCCATGAAAATCCAGACTTCTTTCCCATTAATCCGGTGGACTATGGTCGGTTTTTAGTTATTTCCCTAGGCACTGGATCATCAAAGATTGAACAGAAATACAATGCTAAAATGGCAGCTAAATGGGGTGTTTTGAACTGGTTACTTCATGGAGGTTCCACTCCACTAGTAGATGTATTTACTCAAGCAAGCGGAGATATGATTGATCTTCACATTTCTGTGGTCTTCCAAGCTCTTCATTCCCAAGATAATTATCTTCGAATTCAAGTATGCTTATATGATAACTCATTTTCTGTGTATTTTGATTATATATAAGAAACTTTTCAATGAAATGGTCATGATAATTTTGTATTCTGTTCAATGCATAACCAGGATGATACACTAACTGGGACAGACTCTTCAGTTGATATTGCTACAAAGGATAATTTGGAGAGACTTGTGAAGATTGGTGAAAGGTTGTTGAAGAAACCGGTTTCGAGAGTAAATTTGGGAACAGGTCGCAGTGAACCAGTTGAAAATGGTGGCACAAATGAGGAAGCTCTGAAAAAGTATATAAATAATATAATAATTTATTACATGACATTTTTTATAAAAAAAAAAAATTTATGTATTAAAAAATATATTATCTATTAATATTTTTTTACTCCTTATAGGTTTGCGAAATTACTCTCGGATGAAAGGAGACTCAGACAGTCAAAAACACCACACGTCAACAAAGGCTCGTATTAGTAGGATAATCATTTGTTCCTTATTGGTCATGTGGAAGTGTGTTGCGAAATTACTCTCGGTTGTACCAAGTGATTTACTTGCTTTGAACTTCCAAAGAATTTAAGGTTGTCCATGTGTTAGGATTTGTGGATGTGGACAATTTGTGGAGTATCGTAAATCTCGTTTGGTTTGTGTGTACTTTTATTTATTTTTTAGTCGATAGTGTGTCATGTGTGTACAATCTTAACACCATGTACTCTTACCATTTATTTGAAAGTCAGAATAAATATTGAATGCTGATATTGGTGCTCCACCAACAGACTACGGCATTTCACCCTCTTTTTCTTTTAAAACAAATTTATAAGCCAAACACCAAATCTATTTCTACGGAGCTAATTTCCCTTTTCTATTTACATAGTCTCTCACTGTGTGGACACATTCTTACGACTCATACAAGGATAGAAGATGGAAGAGATAAATAAGTATATAGAGAGAAACTTCAAAGAAAGAGAAAATCAAAGAAACAATATGAGCCATGTTTCAATGTGTTTAGAAGCCCAAATTATTGAAGCATGCCTTGAAGAATGAATGCAGAACTGATCCTTCTGATCTTGCACTCAGAATCCAAAAGCTAAAGCAGGAACGTACTCACTTCATGTTGTGAGTAGTACGCAGCGAAATATTTAGAAAGTTTTGTATATTTAGAAACAAATCGATATTGTGCTTTTCTAACTTTCCATATTTTAGCAATTAAATACTTAATCACTTGCATATAAAATAAGTAAAATAAAAGTTAGATACGACACCAGAATTTTTAGCGAGGAAATCTTAGTTAATAAATACGTCAACTGTTTGAATAGGAAAAATTTCGTGTACTGTGCAGTCAAAAGTAAACTGACACACTATGTTTGAAACGAAGTATACTAAAATTTGACTCTGGCTTACACCTTATCATTCTACCAAACACCAATAACTGACAATCCTCTGGTTTTGCGACGTCCCGTCCAACAGCAACTTGACCTTAGGCTTAGGCTTGATATCTGTAGAAGATTAGCAGGTAGATCAAACAACACTCCACGAATGTTTTAACCCTTTCAAAGTGTGATTACTTTTTCTTCTGTTCTTCAATATCTGAATTCGATATAGAAGTAGATCTGATTTTCATTTATCGATGTAGATGCAATCAGTATGATCACACTCAGGATTTGAACAACACCACTCTAAACTCACTAAGTATTTATCTGTATATTTTCTAGAAAGACGATAGATAAATCTTTTGGATTTTCTGTGACAGCCCAAGATTTTACAAAACTCGGTGCGTCAGTGAGTGACCCAAAACTAACTCGATAATGGATCACAAATGTGGAAGCGAATGAAAATAGAGTGGTCTCTAGTGATGAATACCATCACTAAGACCCAAAATAACTTCCCGAGAAGTTATTAGACTCAAAGGAAACAAATGCAGAAGCAACTAGGTTTTAAAATTAGCCAAAGTGAACCCCAAAGTTAAAACGGTCTTTTCAAACAAAATTGGATACAACCATGCATGCCACTGGATGGACAACGAAAAATTAATCAATTGAAACTCAAGAATCACTTAATTCCGAGTTCAGACGAAGAAAATATGGCTAACGGAAGAAAAAAGTCAAAAGAAGGCAACACAAGACCATCTAACCGGTTAGAAGATTTATCTAACCGATTAGATGGCAAAACAGAAGGGACGCAAGACTGTTGTAGACCATCTAACCGGTTAGAAGATCCATCCACCCGATCAGATGAACTTGCAACTCAAAACTGCTTTCTACAAGCAAGGATTTTTTTGAAAAAAATGGGTTTTTGAGGGCCAAGATGAGATTTTTTGGAAAAAGTTTGGGAAGTAACCCCCTTCCCAAAAATCATGTTTTTTTATTAACCATGGTCTAAACCAAAGTTGGAAAACAATGCAAAAATGATGAAAATGCCCCCAGCAGAAACTATGTCATTGAAGTTAAAACAAGCTAGAAATTTGCATACCTTCCATTACATAAAGATGTTTGGCCCTTGGCCACATTACGTATATGTTGAAACTACATCAAAATAAAGTGCTTAAGTAAATATTACATTGCCAAAAGGAAGCATACCATACTTCTAAACATGTTACACTTTACAATCAACTAATGCTAAACCAAAACATTCTAACACTTGCATGATAATGTACACAAAAGATATCCAATTACTACCAAGCCAAACTAGGGATGTTATGAAAACAAAGTCTCCTTACCTGAAAATAACCCAATCAAGTAGGGTGAGTAACTTACATTACTCGTAAGAAAAGTATACGCATATAATCTAAAGTTTTAATGAATTTACAAGTATAATATAAACCGAATTCATACGGATCATGCCACCTAACGTCTAAGTTCAATGGGAAGCTAGCTAAAGTTCATCCTAAAGCTGCAATTGAAACATGATATACACCATTCACAACAAGTGAACTCAACAAGCTACAACTTCAAAAGTAATGGCAACTTATAAATCAAAGCGAAATCAAACCAAACGGAATACTTGGATGCCTTCGTCGAATCAAACCAACACAATAAAGTTATTTTGGGCACTAACCCGCTAGGAACCACCTAAGTGCGCACTATATGGGGAGAACTCATACCTCCCGCACTAGAGTCATACTCTAGCCAATTCACAAGGTCAACGCCCCAAGTTTCCAAAATCAACAATCAATGCACAACTTATACATATAAGTAAAAATGCATTTAGCCACCTTCCATGCACAACCACATAGAGATTCACACAAAACATACTTTAGGTTTTCAACTACCATGGCATTTATAAGGAATGTAAGTCCAAAATGTGAACCTCTAAACTACTATAACTTGTTAACTTATGAAGTCCATCCATCTCATTATATAGCAAGTTACAAGTTCTTATTTCAACATCACATAACATTAAATTTACAACAATTAATAGGCATGTTTTATACAAGAATCACATAATCTCTACACATGAAAATCACAAGAATCAAGTAATCTTTATATATGAAAATCATTAGATTTTACATTAATTCAAAATGAAACAACACAAACACAAGATATAGTTATATACAAGCTATAACAATATGAAACCCTAGGTTCATCATACACAATAGCAACCTATATGCAACCCTATAAGTTATAAGCATGCATATAACATATATTAACCCTAAATTAAGCATTAAGACACTAAGGGTATAAACGTAGGACGTTCCCTACCTTGCTAAAGATGTGATTCTCTAGAATCCAAGGAAAAATGTGCAAAGGAAAAATCCAAGAACAAGGCTTCTAAGATGATGAGCTAAGGAAGCAAAAACCCTTCTATGGTAAGGTAAAAAGGTAAAGGGAAGGTGTATGAAATCAAGGTTAAAGATGTAGGTTAATGGAGGTTTAGAGAGAGAGTTTGTGAGGAAGAAGATGAAGTTAGTGGAAAAAGATGTATTTCTCCACTAACTAAAGCATACACACATAAAACCCACTATGCTAGCACTACCTCTCTCACACACACACACCTAATCTTCACCCTCCACTTGTCATGATCCTAGGCCTCCTCACAAGGTCAAATTCTAAGCCTACACTTGTCACCATCCTAAGCCCCTTCACAAGGCTTAATCTAAGCCCTACACTTACCAACATCACAAGCCACCAAGTGTCCCAATCCAAGGCCAACAAATAGGTGAATCTTCACCCTACACATGTCACCATCCAATGCCCTCTCACAAGGCTAAATCCCAAGCCTACACTTGTCATCATCCTAAGCCTCCAAGTGCTTCCCCCAAAAGATGACAAGTATCCCCAAGGAAAGTGAGACACTTGTCACAACTTTCAAAAATTACAATTTAGTCCCTCTTCTAAATATCTCAAATAATAATTGCAAAAAGGTCCCTAAGACCAAAATATCCTAAAAACTTAATTACAAAGTACCTCAAAAAGAAGAAATGTTTCCGAAGAAACTATACATCCATACACCTCAAAAATAGAAAACAAGCTAGCATGCTTTATATGAAATTAAATCATGCATCGACATTAAAACAAAATGACGCGAATGCATGCGATACTGAAAGACATTTTAGAACATAGAACCCTAAGGCAACGTAAAGGGAAAAGAACAAATAAACAAATGAAATAATTAAATAAATAAATAATTAACTTGGAAAAAGGGAAAGATGACACAGTCATCACAATCTTCCCTCTTTAAAGGGATTTTGTCCCTGAAATCTGGCCTCAACAAAACAAAAGGCCAACCTAGGATAACTATAGAGTACATCCCTGCATATCCCACACAATGCGCTACATCCGCGACCCAAAAATTGAAAGAAGATGCAAAAACCAATGTCACTTATATCCAAGTGCTCACGACACAACACACACAACAGCCTCTGTCAAAAGTGACCCCACCTCTATGTCATTTGCACCACGAGCTCATGACATGTCACACCCTCTAGAGAATGATGACCACATGGCCATACCATATGTCAAAACCTAATGACAAGCACTAAAAGAACCCCAAGACAACAACACGTCGAACCAAGGTACCTAGCTAACAACAACATGGCAGTATGAATAGTGACTAGTACCTGCCCACAACGTACTCAAATGTATGGTAGCATCGACAGCGTTTAGTGCCCACCCACACTTACTAGCTAGGTAATGTAAGATAGCATCGATGGCAACTAGCACTCGCCCACAACACACAATTTGGTACGGTAACATGACAGTATAAGGCACTAATTCATAACATGCCCCTACTAGGTCTACCGTAGAACCTCTCAATACAATTGACAACAATGACACAAAACAAACATTGCCAAAAGCATTATAGGAACCAGGCATTCAGTAAAAGTCAGGGTATGGTCCAAGGATGTCTGGCTAAACCATCTCAGCCAATCCCAAAACCTTGACAACAATACCAAAGGCACAATCACGTTCAAGGCCTCAAATCCTCAATACACGCAAAACCAACAACTTCAATCACGAATCCAAAGCCTGACAAGTCTGTGCCCTCAAGCCAATGGATCGAACTCCATAAAATCATAAAACATCAACACCTCCTAAGTCACGATAATCCTTACGAAAGACTCGAGACAACAATGATGATACTCACGGATCAACCAACCTATAACCATGCACAACGCAATGCAGAGAAAAGACTCACTCCTTCTGAGGTCTCTAACACGGACCAAGAAAAGAGGAGAAATCTTACTATCCCATAAGTGTCGATAAGATAAGCACGAAAAACGGAGCATTCTTTCCACCTTAGAGAAGTGGACAGCCCATGACAAAACAAAATGTGATAACTCCTTATGAGGAATTCC